TTCACACCTTTTCTATTTTCATCCTTGTTTTCCTTTTAAGTACCCAATAGCCTAGGCATGTGCTGTGAAGCCTAAGCTATATATATTTTTATTTTTTTAAACATACATCTGCTAATAAAAGAAGCTGCAGGTACTCTAACCAACTGTGTTTATATAGCCCAACGTTTTGTGGCCTGCTTGTTCACGGGCAATTTATTTCGCTGGGAGTTTGTACTTCTACCCTCCTTGTCGCTGCCATTTAAATCATTCTCCTCGTTTTGTTGCACCCTGAAGCCCGTGGATATAACTGCTTGGGATGGTACCGATCGACCTGTTCTGGTTGTTCTTTGTATGCTGAATAAGCTACAACTATAAAAAGTTGTTTTTTCAGTTCATCTCGAACCTGGAAAAAATTACTCTTGAGTCATGGCATATTCAGCATACAAAGAACCCGAACCTTCCCAAGCAGTTATATTCACGGGCTTCTAAGTGTCACAAAAAGGAGAGATTTAAAGGCAGCGACAAGGAGAAGAGAAAGACAAACTCCCAGCCAAATAAGTCACCCGTGAACAAGTAGGCCGCGAAATGTTGGGCTATTTGAACACAGCTGGTTAGTGTACCTGCAGCTTTTTATTAATACTCACCTAGCCAGGCACAATTTTGCCAAAATGTTTACTTTTAAAACATACATCTGTTGAACATAACTATTGTTATTATACTGGAACATGAAAACCTTAGTCCTCCCAGTCCCATGCGACGAATAACTGAAGAATGTCGCCCTACAACATACTCACTTTGCGCGGGATGTAGCAGCCACTGTGCCAATTCCATGCGCAGAACAAAAGCCGCCGGGCAAAATCAGATTTTTCACAGCATATTCGTCCCATGGAGTTCAGCCTCTATGGGTCATAATGCATATGCAAGTACAAAAGTTTCCTTGTAAATAAAAATAGGCTATCCCCCTTCGACTTAAAACTGACCTCCCAAGTTCTCAGGTACACAAGGGAGTCGGAGGAGGTTCACAAAACAATACATGTAGTTTACAGGCGTGAGCCCTCACAATTTTCCAGGCCAGCGGCAGCTGCCCGACTGTCAAATTTTACTTTCGGAATAGTACATACTTTATGGCATGAAGGATCATAGATGGATGGATGGATGGGATCTTTCAAAGTAAATAATTCTCATTACCTACAAAAACAAAATGTCAAAGCTTCAACAGTTTATTTACACAAACACACTGCACCATTCCAACTTTTATTCAAGTGGTGACTAGCAGGCAGGACCAATGCCTTTGGTTCAGAGATGACGATTAACTGGGTGACAGAAACTTTGTGCTACAAGTCACAACTGAAGCAGCTTATTCAGAGTGGTGCCCAGGACGCCAATGGTGGGGTTCAAGCTGGGCTGCAAGAGAAAAGAATTGTCACAGTACAAGCACCGCGACCATCCATTTTAGACCACGTGGAACAGACATACACCACTTCAGTGCACTAAGGAGTGTGTTACTACTTTTAAAAACAAGAACTCTTGGATAATGATCCCCTAAACAAAGCGAATTTACAAGTTAGTTTGAACATTCAACAAGTAATCAAAATTGTTGAGAGTAAAAACATATTCGAATATAGGTCATCCCTAATTTTGAAGTGGAAGGAAAGGAAATTCACACAAATATTTAACTCGTCGCATCATTTGTAACCCAGGTTTAAACTCATGTGTTGATCATGCTGGCAACGTCATCTTATGAACATTAAGAATAGCAACTGCATGCTTTCGTACCGAGCGAAAGCATTAAGTATTGAACAAAATAGCACATTAGTTCACATAAAAATAGTGCTCGAAGAATTTTTGATCATAATCACAAACCACTGTTGTAGATTTTTTTGTATTAGAAATGTCACTGAAAACCTGTTCATTTTTGTTATAAATATTCACTCTACTATAAAAAGGTAAACTGGCAGTGCAATTGACCCTTTAGCAGTGGTATGCCAGAGTAGTTTATAACATTACTAGTCAGGAAACAGTGCTTTGCACTAATACATTTTGCTTCACATATACTATCTTGCAGATATTAGACACAAAGGCGCACAAGCTGAAGTTGACACAAAAATAACATAAAACTACCTCATGTAAAAAAAAAAAAAAAAAACAACATGGATTATTGACGTCTTTCACGATTGCAGCCAGTGCATTGATAGTAGGGGACAGATATATGTATTTTTGGATTCCGCCAAGCATTTGATTGATTGTCCTGCCATCTAGCTGTTATGTAATATTGCAGGTATCATTAAAGGGGCCCTGCAATCATATTTAAGCATCTACCTTTTTTGCGGTTTCCACATCTCTTGGTGTTCGGGCAAGCCAGCGGGCACGGAGAGAATGACTAAATATCAATGCGTCATATTTTAACCGGACGACGTGGGCACCTTCTCTACCTACAAAGGCGACCCGCGGTGCTGAAAGTTTTGTGTTTGGTCCTCGCCTTAATACTGGTCAGAGCCGCTAAAAGCTTCTTTTTAAAAGCGCAAGCTCATAGTGTTGGCAGCCACTCTTAATTAAGTCACGAGAGCTTGTGCCGCTGAGATGTGCTCCAGAGCAAAGAGCTCGTGCTTGTAGCCTTTTTTGCGGTACATCATAAGGTGAAACAGAGTATAGCAGTGAGCGTAGAAAGGTCTCGAATGTACCCGGCGCCACTGCGGTCGAGGATCCGACCGGTTCCGAAGGCCTTCGGAGCAGGTTTGGAAGTATGGCAGCGTGAAGTGGCTGCTGTACTGAACTGATCTTTATCCCGTGTTTGCTGTCGTTCGTGGCCAATGAAGTGTCATACCAAATTAGTGTTTAATCTCGCAGCAAATGCAATGCGAGCCGCCCTGGCTGCCCACTTCATACAACCTATCCAGAACATGCTTTAGTGGTGTCCTCTCGAGCCGTTGACGCGGAGTGCAGCAGCGGTGAGCGCTCGCTGAGCTCGGTACCCCTCCTCTAGTTCACGGCCACTCAAGCGACGAAAGACGTCATGAAGGAGGTGTTTTTTTTTGCTTGTTTTGTAATTTGAATTTGCCTATTACTTTTAGAATAAAGTTAGATTCAAATAAAAGAAAAGTTTCATTAAGTTACTACGTTCAGTGTGCTCAGGTTCGGTGCGAATTTAAAACTTTCAGCCTTTCCACTCTGATGAAGAAGGAAAGTCAGCGGCCGCCCATTACAAAATGCTGTATGAGCGGGAGGGGAGACCCCAGCAAAATGGAAGATTTCAGGAAGGGGGGGGGGGGGGGGGGGGCCCAGGCCCCATGGGCCCCCTTACCCCTGGCTACGTGCCTGGTGTATCACTACTGGGTGGTGCACGTTACCCCAAGCTAGCGGTTGTACTGCACTCGCTAAATTGCTCATCTACAGCTGGGAGACTCGTCGCCCTTTGAGGCATACCAAGTTCTAGGCTGTATAGACATACACACAACCGAATTTCGGATCTTGATGATGCAAGTCTGTTCCCGGCTGAGCTGAGCCCTCCTCATTCAACGCTTGTTGTTATTGCTGTCGTTTCTTCCTACTAAAGGCTATGGTTAGGGTTCCGCATTTTCTGTGTTTTTTTCTTCTCGAAATCGGGGGTATTTTATTTCGGGGTTTATGTTTTCTTGCAGATTCCGTGGTTTTTGTTTAAATTGGTTATGACTACACCAATTCACACAAAAAACAGTGAATCTGTAAAAGAAATGGAAATGACCGAGCGACAGCGAAGCGGGTCGCCGTTGCTCGCCAAAGCGCTTACATGTGGTTTATACTCAATTAATTTACAAGCACACAACGTTGAACCATTGGTGCCTCGATTTTAAGTATAAACTGCATGCAAGCGATTTGGCAAGCAATGAGACAAGCGACGGTGACCCGCTTCGCTGTGGCTGGGTCAGTCGTGTGACGAGGCGAACCGCACGGAAACGACGAAGCAAGCGACCAGGACGGTCAGCGACGTTTTCTAGAAACCCAAAAACCGAGTAGCACGACAAGCGACAATAAGAAATCTCCGTCGCTCGCCGCTGACTCTTGTCGTCGCCACCGCTCGTCTCGTCGCAAGCTAAATCGCTTACATGCTGGTCATCTTTACAGAAACAAGTGTGCACATGCAGCGGAAAGCACGACTGGATAGCCTTACTGCGTCAATTGAAATTTGCATATGTCGCAATGGTGTAGACTGCCCTTTATTAGCGAGAAAAACGCCAGAACGGGATGAACTTATGTGGTCTCTGAAATCATAATCTTTTATCGTCGATCCATTCGCTGTCCGATTCCATTTCATAAATACGAAAATACAAGAGCTGTGTTGAAATATAGATATCAAATGATTAAACAAAAGCCCGAAATATCGAAAAGACACACAATTTCAATGTTGAAAAGACACACAATTTCAACACGGAACGTGAAAGAACACGAAAACAAAGCTCCGGTAGTGGCCTGTGCAGCACACAACGCGGGGGAACGGTGAGAAACTGAAGGTCGGCTATGGCGGCAGGGTCACGTGACGTCAATATGCCGGCGCCCATGAAATGTTGCCTGAAAGGGTCTATACCTATGCTTCTCTTGTCTTATGAAGCATCATTGTAACAATTGTGCAACTTTCTGAAGTGCTTTTCTAAAGTGCCGTTAATGTTATTGAACCACGACTAGTTAGCTCCACATACTGTGAACAACTTTATTTTTGCGGCCTCAATATTTCGCAAATTTGGAGAATATTTCATGCGCAGAAAATTTTGCGAGGAGTGGTGAGCTATATATTCTTTACCATATATTGGTGGGATGCGTTTTTTGCAGAAATTTTTAAGTCAAGAAATTTGCGAACAATTAAGTTGTTTACAGTAGTCGGGTACGCTTATTTGCCTCCCAAGCCTTTGAAGGGCCTGACAAGTCAATCCCCTTCACCGTGCTATGGTGTACTAGAATCTAGTACATTATAACCGTGCGAATTCACGCCGCTCTTCCATCAAGATTCAATCTCTCGGAAGAAAACCGAAAAAAAAACTCGTCCCCCTCCCCCGGCTGGTGCCGATGCCGTCATCTGAACGCAACACAGCGCTTTGGCATTGCCACTGTGAATCGCACAGTGCCCTTGCTTCAAGCAAAATGGCAGCCTTGTTCCCACCTAGCCTAGCAACACATGCATTTTGTACTCTCGAACCGGAAAACAGGAAAAGGGTCCATTCTCTACAGTGCTTACTGGTAGCACCCACATTTGCAAATTCGTCCGCTGACAGTGAGAGTACTTCCCCTATTTCAACAACTATAGCATCAATGTGTATTTTTGCAACAGGTCTACATTCTGTTTCACATCACGTCCCACCGCAGCGGATGCTCCAAGCCGCCTCAGCCAACCCAGCTCTGCGAACGTAGCACTTGATATGCTCTACGCATGTCACCCTCTTCAAGGTCAAGTAAAGGCCTGGTCACACATACAGCGGAGCGTTAAGTTAGCGCTACGTAAGTGCTCCAAAGAGCGCTCATGTGGTGCTTCCTTGCACGTGACTTAGTTCTAATATAGCGCGCAATCAGCACTTTAGTAGCGCTCCTTGTACGACCGTTATTGCTGCAGATTAACATGTGTACTGATGTTAGGTTCCTGTGGTTGGGTGTGCAACAGTACCATGACGGACATGTTGGATGCTGAAATAGAAAGGCGACAAATGCCCTTACATACGCAATTAGTGCATATGTGTGTGGACGACTTAACGCTCAGCCTTCTGAGTGCACGAAATCTTTCGCCACCGAGATATCGACGGGTATCCGGTGAACCTCGTTCCCAGGCCGAGGGACTGGGACACAGAGCTCTTTAGAAGGTGATTATTTTTTAACTGTGTGTCTCTGAAACCAGGATCACGCATGTTGAATAGAAAGTGATAAGGTCGTACCCAATCAATTAGTTGCTCAGAGTCCATGACTGTGAATTGTTTGCCCGACCCTTTGCTTGGAGAGCGTCTCTTTTACTTCCTCTTCTTTCAATGCCAAAGGAAAAATAACAACGGAATCGCCGTGCATGCGTTGCTTCGCAGCAGCAAGCACGGCACAAGGAGCGCACTTGCACTGCGCTGCTAAAGCAACAACCGAGCGCTGCTTCCAGCGCTCATGAAGCGCTAACTGAGCGCTCCGCTGTATGTGTGGATCAGCCTTAACACTCACAGGGCCTTGGATTGGCTCCGATGGCTCGTAGCTGGTGTAAAGCCCCTCTATCCTGGGAAAAGCGGCACCATTCATTGTTGTGGAAATGCTCGAGACTTGTGCCGCGCACCACCTTCTGGGAAGAACATGGTGGCTGAAATTTAGCTCAGTGCTGCGCTGTGCTGCCATGATCTTCCCAAGGGCTACACGTAGCACGTACCTCGTGCATCGGCGCACCTTGCGCTACTTTTGAAACATAAAGGGGGCTTCAAGGTGGTACAGTTGGCAATGGTTGCCCCGTGGCCGGTGTTGCAAGAGCAAACTGTGGTTCGAGCACAAAGTTGTGAAGGTAGGCTTGTTAGTCATTAGATTAAGGGCTTGGGGGAAGTGATCTATGTGACTTCGCCCATTACCTGGCCCACCCTTCTGTTGGGGCTTTCGTAGGGATGGCACAAAGAGTATGTTAAGCAAAATAGCTGTCAACATAAGAAAGATATAACAACAATGTCAGCATGCAGAGCATGTTATGGTCTTAACTGGACAAGAGGCTAAACCTATGAGCATACCACTGCAAATATTTCATGTTGATCTATATAGCACACAAACTGCCTCTGCTTGCCAAACGTTTACCCCTGCATCCTTATTTTCAGAACGAGGCTGGTGTGCTGCAGTAATCAAATGACAGATGAAGAAATAAACTTCAACATATCGACTGACCTCACTGAAGTGAGCGCCGCTATCCTTCAGCATCCCGCTCCACTCCCGGCTGTTCGATGAAACCATGGCCTGCCTTGCGGCTCCTGCAGAAAGTGTTTGTCTCCCGGTCATCCTTGCTCTTTCCCGCAGAACCTCGGCACGTCCACCGCGGGCTGCTTTGCCTCGGGAGGATGACCGTCAATCCAGCAGTCATGACGAACAGACGCTTAATCGCCGCAAAAAGAACGAATCGACTGAATCTCGACAGCCACGTCTGGTTTCAATAGGAAAATGCCGAAGGTCTTTCCACAAGAAACCCCAGTTGCCCCAGTCACGGAAACCCCAGATATCAAAGCACGTGGTACACCGAGTTTTGGGCTAAATACACAGGCAATCGGAATCTCGCGAAAGAAATACATACGTGAAAAAAATCAACAAGGCACCAAGAAGGGAAAATCAACGCTCCGAAACGGGGATTCACGACAAATGGAGGTGGACTTGCGAAGGTTGCAGGAACACCAGGAGCCGAAAAGGTAAACAACGGTCAAAACGCGGGAAACGAAGGGATTCTCCCGCTTCTCATCAAATGTAACACGTGACATTGCATATAATAATTATCTCAGAATGCATTTAATATATCTAATATAATTTCATTTCTACTAATTTAAAATTTATATAAATAAACTTAACAAAATAATTCACTAAATTTATATAGACACGTGACTTTTTCTTAATAGCCAATCAGAATTCTGGGTCTACCTAACGCTGGGCGTTGCGTAGACCGGGTCGACGCAGACACTGCCATTAAATATTGCCTGCCTCCCACCCCCTCTCCCCGGCAGAGCCAGGGGAGAAGTGGGAGGGGTCTTGTGAGGCTTCAGCCTCCTTTCCCCTCTCCCCGCACCCGAAAAAAAAAAAAAAAAAGAAAATTCCTGGCTAAACCATTAATCCCCACTCCTAAAAAAAAAAAAAAAAAAAAAAAAAAAACATAGGTGAAAATTTATTAGTGTTTCTGGCAAAGGAGGTCGGGTTTTAAGTCAGCGTGCAAGGTGATTCGGCAGATTAACGACGGGTCACCTCCTGGCAACAGACTGTCCGCCATCGTACGCGTCAGCAAAAGGACCGGGCAGCCCCAACCACTCCGTGGCAAGACTCCGCGACACAGCGAATCATTGTTGCCTGCGGCTATCAGGAACTTTTGGACCATGCCATTGGCTGCCGGTAGTCCTCTGCCCAAGGCGCATGAGGAGTCCCAGGCTCTCTGTAGATCTCTTCGCGGCACAAATGTCTTCGAGCCAGGGTTAGGCGCCGTTCGCACACTTGCAATGGAGTGGGACGGGAGGAGGTGGGACCGGTTTTTGAGCCTCTTCCGACGTCTTGGGATCGGATGCACTGCTGCGCAGCTGGTCGTATAAGGCGTCGCGGGGGGGCTTGGGGCCGGTCTTGTCTCTCTTCGTCCTACTCGGTTGCGGGTGTGAACTGCGCTTTAATTTAAGCTGGCGCAAACTTTCAGCTTTCTCACCCTGTATTTAGCTTCACTGTCATCATTTTATGTCCTTGTTACATCTTTAGTTTTCTGGATATCATTTTGTGACTCTAATGTACCCGGCGGCAGGCAAGCAGACGCACAGGCGTAAGGGTCTCTGCTTCGCCTTGCACACTGTCACGTACGTGCAGGGGCGGATCCAGACCTCCTTTTTGGGGAAGGGGGGGGGGGGTGTTTATATTTTTTATGGAGTTATCGTTTTTAATAAACACTGATAACCTAATATAGATCTTGAGAGCTTCTGTATCGGTTTACCTGTCGGGGATGAACTCTTTGAATTAAAACCTTTCGGGTGACCACGAGAGGTAAGTATCTAGAAAATTGTGGTGGCACTATCCTTTCTGAACACCATAACGCAAGGAATTTTGTAGTTCATAGGAAACGGGATTACTCCATTCGCGTGGCAGCGCGCTAGAAATAGAAAAAGAAGTTTAACTACTGGGGATGAATGTTTGGTGCTATAGCGGCTGTGACAATTGCAGACAGTGTAACTTGATGGCTCAGATATCCCCGGCGGGGCTACAACTTTTGGGCTCCTTTTGCTTGAATATTTATATATTCTCGTTACACCCGCAGAGCATGTACGGAGAGTCAACCTTTGCCAACTATACGGAGGAAGCTCATGCAGCTATAATGAAATGCGAAAAACGTTTTAATCTAAAACTCGGTTGTTCTTTGAGATTAAGCTTGGCATAGTAGTTAGAACTTTATATTCAGTGCCAAAATGCAGAACGTGGTTTTAAAACATACTTTTCCTTGTCGCCGGTTGCTTCAATGGAGCGAGTATGTTGCAAACAAGTGACAAAAATGGCCCGGCGCCTTCGACGCTGCTCGCGGCGTCAAAACACTGTTAACTCAGCGAGCGAAACGAACGCTGCCAGGCAAGTTCGTCGGTTGTTCGCCGTATATTTGGAATGTCCAGGGCGCAGCAAATGCGGCATTGCCAACCCAAACTCGTGTTTTCACGTGTTCTGGATGCAACTCGAGAGAACGAAAGTGAATAATTGTTGAATATTTTCGAAAGCATGTTGCAGTTCGGCAACCATAACTTCTAAACTTAGATAAGACCTTAAACCAGCATTGGATCCTTCCAAATTATATTCAATTGCACTTCGTCTGGATATTTTCTGTATGAAAGGAACACTTACTTGTTTCTGGGTAGTTAGCTCATTCGTCAGGGTCGAGAGGACAGGTGCAGAGATATGATGGGGCAGAGCGGTTGTCCGGTCGGCGAATCTCAACTGGGCTAAAGGCCGTTTACGACTGCAGCATAAATGTTTGGGAGTCAGTGTTCACTCGAACGGGCACAGGCATCTTTGAAAGGGCTCGTTTTCCCCAAGTCCCTAGGTAGGGTTCAAAGCCGCAGTTGCAAACCAGCGAGCCCCGCCTCTGTTCCGTTCGACACACACACATATTCGCTCCTGCAAAGCAGCGCGAAAGCTCTGCCGTTAGTCCACAGAAGCCGCGTTTAACTCGAAAAGTAAAGACGGCGCCATGGGGAGACAAGGGGTAGCGGGCGCCTTTCCTAAAATATGTCCCGCTACCCTAAGTTGAAACGGCATTGTATACAATTAAATGCCTGCGGCGTCGGCTTGAGGACCCCGTGTAAGCAGCCTCCAGCCTTTAGAGTGCTCGTACAGTTTATCTTTTTTTCTTTATTAGCTTACCGCCACGAGAAGTCGTACCGCAGGCAGTATGAAGCCCATTAGAGGAAACATCTCCCCCTTCTGGCGCTCGTCGGCTTCTTTCTGTATTCCGCGCTGCGGCGCTGATCCTCAGTGCGGGATTCAGGCGAGGACGAAAGCGGGCTTATGTTTAAGCCAAGGTTGTAGGGAAATCCGGAGCGTCTTCAGGAGGAGCTCAGACCCAGACTACACTGTACCCAGAGCATTTGCTTCCTCTCTCAGTTGAGAAGAAAAGCAATTGGTCACCTGGTTGTACAAGCTGCATCGCCCCCCCCCCCCCCCCCTGGAACGTCTCCTCCTGGTACGTCCCCTCCGCACTTCCCTTGGCAATGAGCACACCGTGCCAATAAGATACCTTTAGTGAGCCCGTGGGCGACAGCATCTCAAAGCAAGCCAAAAAAGACATGCCAAAAGACAAGCCCAGAACCACGGAGAAACCATCAAACGAAAAGTGATGAAAAGGCGGCCGCTAGAGAGGAAGCATAATCTGCTGTGTATAGGATCGTACCCTTGAGGAAGGCTGCTTGGCGTCTGCGTTTGGGAGCTTTCAGGGCACAAATTTTTCGCAGACAACCTCCAAAGAGAGAAAGGGAGACAGAGAGAGAAAGGGGACTAGATATGTTGAAGGTATTTTCTCTCCGTGCTCGACGTGCTGGCATTGTTTGGAAGTGTGCCTGCAGTCGAGGACCCTGATATTTGGTGCGCCTCCCCACTGTCTCTCCACTTCAAAACTCCTGGCGCCGTCCCTGGAAGACGTACCGTGTCCTTGACGGAGATAAACCCCACTTTGGAAGCGCCCAGCAGGCGCGTCCACCCACCGCTGATTTAATCTTGTCCCTCGCGTCGATTGCTTACGTTTTTTCTTCGAGCTGACGAAGAACCCCAAGGGGGGGGGGGGGGGGTTGCTTGGCGAGGCGTTTGGGGGGGGGGGGGGGGCGATCGCCCCCACCGCCCCCCCCCTCCCCCTTGGATCCGCCACTGCGTACGTGCCTGACCTGTGCAAATAAAAATCAATCAATCAATCAAGGCGCTGTCCGGTCATGTCCTGCTTGTCCTCAAATGCTTCCTGGGTTTCCGAAACAAAAGTCGCGCCAACCAGCGTTTTGAAAACGGCGCCAACTGCACGGCACTATCTCTAGATGAAACGTTGGTGGTAACCAGTGTTGCCAGATCTACTGATTTATCGGTAAATCTACTGATTTCGTTCCTGGTCTACTGATTCACTGAAATAAAACAAAAATCTACTGACTTTTATTTTTAGTAAACATATTAAAATTTATTATTTGGTTCCCAGGGTCCCCTAGAGCACTATATAGCTCCTACGGAGCAGAGCAGCGCAATCCTTTGAACCCCGTGTTTTGCCGACAACATGGCCGACAGAGCGGCTCTGCGCGAGTCACGTGGTACTCAGAGTTCCAGGAGGCGGCCCGCCTTAAAGGGGCACTGACACATCAAAATCATATTTTTTTTTATTATCCGAAACGATTGAAAACGATGCCGGGACATTACCCACAAAATTTGAAATTTGTGAATTCAGTATTTGTGAAGTAAAAAAACAATTTCCAAATGCCGAATTCGAAGTTCCCGCGCGATCGGCGCCGGTGCCTTGACGTCAAAAATTGAGGAGACCTGAGAGTCCGCTTCCTTTCACCACTCCCTGATGTTGCCATGGCGACCCAAAGCGAGGAGGAAAGGAGCGAGCGGAGCGAGCGCCGGCGGACCGGTTTTGAGCGGTGTCGCCTGTTTTCCGTTGGAGGATACAAATCCAGGAGAAGGCACCACAACCAACTCCCGATTTTTGGTATTTCAAAAAGAAGGGCCGTAGTGCGTTCGCAATTGCGTTAAAAAACATGTTTTAGGATTGCCGTAATTAAAT